ATTTCATTTTATCCCATAATAATGGCAAAACTCAAAACAACAACCAAACAACAACAGAAAACAACCAACAACAAATACTTATGGGGATGTGAGCAAAAGGGACCCTGTAATTCATTGCTGGTGAGATTCAAAACTAGTTCAGCCTCACTTTCTAGAAATCAGTGTACAGAATCTTCAAAAAGGTAAAAGTAAATCATATGACACAGGTATACTACTCCTTGGCATATATCCAAGGACTTGACATCCTACTCCACTGATACTTGGTCTGCCGTATTCATTACTTGTCTATTCACAAAAGCTAGGAAATGGAAAAAAAAAACCTTCTACTGAATTAATACATAATCCTTCTACTGATTAATACACATCCTTCTACTGATTAATACATAATCAAAATGTTGTTCACCTACACTATGATGTTCTCTTCAGTGGTAAAGAAAAACGAAATTTGCATGTATAAAAAATTGTATTGAGTGAAGAAACCCATGCCAAGAAAGGAAATATCACATGTTCTCTCTCATCTTAGGTTCCTAGTTCTAAATTTTCAGATCTGAGTATATAACCCAGAGAAACTTCTTCAGAAACTAGTAAAATAAAATGGTACCATGGTGAAGGGTTGGGAAGCAATAGAGAGGAAAATGGAAGGCTATAAATGAAATGAACAGGAAAATGGGAAGGAAGGATAGGAAGGCTCTAATTAGTGATGGGTGAAGATACATAAAAAAGATTGAGGGAAAACGGTAAAACAGCAATACAGATGTATAAAAAGGTCATAAGGTATCATATTAATTACCTATCTAAAATATCTTTAATATATTTAAGTTAGTATACATATATACACTTGCAGTTTAACTGGGAATTTCTTATCTGAGATGACAGTACTCCCTCTAAGAGCCACTGGCCACTTTAACAAAATCTCAACACTGGGCATTAGAAGCACTCTTTTTAGTTGTTGGTCAGTGTTAACCAAGAGACTTCCCAAACAATATAGCATATTACATTTGCCCTTCATTGTCCACCATGTACTTCAGGAACTGGGCATAACAGACTCCGATATGGAACTTATCTGAAAACCTCATTCATGTGGGCTACCTTTCATGGTACCTGAAGGAACCATGACAATTTCCAAAAGATGATAGCAATGAACACTTCTACCTAGGTGTGGTACTTATGAAACACGGTAACCAGCATTTCAGGATAACCTAAGGGTGCAGTAGTGGCAGGCATACCTTGGTGGTAACCAGCAGTTCTCTAACTGGACTTAATATCCATTCAGCAAGAGGGAAAGCATACCTCATTCTGGAAACCTAGTTAACTATTCAGGCTCCTGTTAGGAAGCACTTTTTGGCATCAGCTATAGTGTCTAGGTTTGGTGTCTGCAGATGGGATGGATCCTTAGGTGGGAGGTCCCTGCATGGCCTTTCCTTCAATCTCTGCTCCACTCTTTGTCCCTGGATTTCCTTTAGACAGGAACAATTTTGGGTTAAAATTTTTGAGATGGGTGAGTGGCCCTATCCCTCAACTGGGGGCTATGCCTATCCACTGGATATGGTCTCTATAGTTACTCTCTCCCTTTTGTCAGATATTTCGGCTAATGTCATCCCCCCTGGGTCCTGGGAATCTCTTGCTTCCCTGGCACCTTGGATTTTCTAGTGGCTAACCCCAATTCCCCACTCCCCACTGCTACACACCTCCATTCTATTTCCTGTCTCTCTGTACTTCTCTCTAGTCTCTTCCCACACCTGATCCTGCCCCTCTTTCCCTCTCCCTCTTTTCTTCCTCCCAGGTCCCTCCTTTCCTCTATCTCCTGTAATAATTTTGTTCCCCTTCTAAGTAGGACTGAAGCATCCAGACTTTGGTCTTCCTTCTTCTTGAACTTCATATATTCTGTAAGTTGTATTGTGGATATTCCGAGCTTTTGGGCTAAGATCCACTTATGTTATCATGAGTACATAACATTCGTGTTCTTTTGTGATTGGGTTACCTCACTCAGCATGATATTTTCTAGTTTCATCCATTTGCCTGCAAATTTCATGAAGTCATTATTTTTAATAGCTGAATAGTACTCCATTGCATAAATGTATCACATTTTTTGTATCCACTCCTCTGTTGAGGGACATCTGGATTGTTTCCAGCTTCTGGTTATTATAAATAAAGCTTCTGTAAACATAGTGCAGCATATGTCCTTGTTACATGTTGGAGCATTTTTGGGTATATGCCCAGGAATGGTATTACTGTGACCTCAGACAGAACTATTTCCAATTTTCTAAGGAACTGACAGACTGATTTCCAGAGTGGTTGTACCAGCTTGCAATTCCACCAACAAGGGAGGAATGTTCCTCTTTCTCCATATCCTTGTCAGCATCTGCTATCACCTGAGTTTTTGATCTTAGCCATTCTGAGTGGTGTGAGGTGGAATCTCAGGATCATTTTGATTTGCATTTCTCTAATTACTAAGAATGCTGAGCATTTCTTTAGGTGCTTCTTGGCCATTCAATACTCTTTAGTTGAGAATTCTTTGTTTAGCTCTGTACCCCATTTTTAAATATGGTTATTTGGTTGTCTGGAATCTAACTTCTTTAGTTCTTTTGTCTATATTGGATATTAGCCCTTTTTGGGATATAGGGTTGGTAAAGATCTTTTCCCAATGCGTAGGTTGCCATTCTGTCTTGTTAAAAGTACCCTTTGCTTTACAGAAGCTTTTCAATTTTATGAGATTCCATTGTCAATATTTGATCTTAGAGCCTGAGCCATTGGTGTTCTGTTCAGGATTTTTTTTTTTTTTGGTGTGTGTGTTGGGGATTTATACCATTTCTTGATGATTTTATTCTACCACAGGAGTAGCAGATAAATATTAGTTGGCACCCTGAAAACCATACAAGTGCTCAACTGCTCTAAAAAACTTTTACAGGCTTGATTTCCTCTGGAGCTGATTTACTGAAGATATGTATGGAGATTATCTTCTATTGTTACACAAGGCCCAGGTTGTTCTGAGTAAATAGTAGACACTAAGCTTGTTTTAACATAAATGTTTATATAGTCACATGGTTCTTTTACATTTGAAATAAGAAAATATTTGAAACTATTGAATCTCACTTAGAGTTTATTGCACACCTAGATACCAAGAAGCTTTTCCTAGAAAACATGTCTGAAAACCAAAATACAAGCCTGATAATGGAAAAAAATACTTTTCATTAAAAAATATGCAAATATTTTGTCAGTTATAATTTACGGTAATAATTTTTAGCATAAACATTAATTTCTCCACTTCTCTTTGAGTTTCTTTTTATTGTGAGGCCTGCCATAGAACTCTAGATATCCTTGCCTATGTGGGTTTCAGGCAAGCACCTTCATGTCTAGCAATAATGTTTCTAAATTTTAAAAATGATAAATCAAAATACATGCAGTCTTGAACATCAGAGACCTATATAAGGATACATATGGAACATTAAGTAAATTTTTTTCTTCAGATTGTTAAGAGAAATTGAAATTCTCCATGATCTCCATATAGAACTTGACTGGTATTTGGATATCTATTTCCTATAAATTTTTAAGCTTTTTAGAACTCTGGGATGTTGGCTATATTTTGATAATTCACATTATTAGAAAATTACCTTTCATTTTCAGAGAACTTCTACTATTTAGGAGTGGATAGCTGAAAGCAACTTCACATGCTGCAATAGTATATGCAGTTCACTTTTCTTAGTCTAATGATCTTCATTTTTGGTTTTGTATTTTAATAATTTGCAAAGATAACTTTTTAAAGGCTTACATTTGTTACTGGCTCTTTTCATATAATCCAAATGAGGATTTTTAATGGAGAGAGTGATGAAAAAAAAAGAATAGAAAGAATTTAAAATATCTTAAAATCTGACATAACACTTGTACTTATCCTGTAATACTTTACTCCTCCCTCCAACCCCCTGCTTATTTTTTAGTTTTAAAAAGTAGCAAGCCTTTAATCCCAGCATTCAGAAAGCAGAGGCAGGTGAATCTCTGAATTCAAGGTTGGCTTGGTCTACAGAGCGGGTTCCAGGATAGGGCTTCACAGAAAAATTCTAACTTGAAAAAACAAAACAATAACAAAAATAGCTGTTTATTGTGGGGAGATCTGGTATACACACACACATACATCTATAGGAGGTGTAAGAAACAGAAAAGCACATTGCTACATGTGATTGTTACATTTTGAGCACTAGATGATTAAAGCTTACAAAGTTGCAAGCCAGAAAATAACTTGTCAGCCAGTCTTTTATAATAATTTTGTGTCGAGGGTCAAAACCATTAACAACAAAGCTAAGTAAGCCGTCACTCCTGAAACAACAAGTCACAAGGCTCTAACAGGGTTCAGGTGTTCTGTAGATCAAAATTAGCTTCTATCCACGTGGGATCAAGCAAGGCGGTTACTTCTCAGTTGACAACTGGAAGACAACACTGGAGTGGCTGGGCTTTTACCTACTAGTCTGGTAAACGAGTGAGTTATCATGCTATGGCAGAGGCCTAAGCTTGTTTGCTGAAAGGTTGCCCACTCTCGGTAACCCCTGCAACGTTCACAAAGACAGTTCGGATGAAAAGTCGTAGGGGTCAGCCCTAGCAACTAAACGCTTATACGCCCCCTCGTGCTGCCTGTAGGCTACACCTTCTCAGCCTATTCGTCCCTCTGACTCCTCGGCTTTCCTCGGCTGGCTAGTCCTGTTCGCTCTCCCGAGAACACAGAAGCACACTGGTCTACAGATTGGGTAAAAGGAGCAGAGGCTTAAAACACCAAGACTCTCTCAGCCTTGTCTCAAGATGGCGACGGTGCTGGCCAGCTTCCACCCAGCCCAAGGCCATCTCCCCTTCCCGAAGGTCCCCGCGCCGCTGGCGAATGCGAACTAGAGGGCCCTACAGAGCTGCGATCCGGGCGGGGCCGAGCCCGTCCCCCTCCCACGCACGCGCGACCCCGCCTCGCGTCCCGCCTCCTGACTTGGATCCCTCGCTTGGCTGGGTGGCGCGCGGTGTCTGTCGGGATACTCGGTCCGCCCACCTAGTCATCTAGTCTAGTGCTGCGTTCGCGAGATCCGTGTTTCTCCCAAGATGGTGGCGTTTCTCTCTGGGTGACTATAGGAGAAGACAGGGCCTCTCGTCTTCGCCAGCACCTAGCCGCCCCTCCTGCGCTTGCTCGCGCACCCGGCCACGCAGCTTTTCACTGCCTCATCACGCCTCTCCTCTGTCGACCTGTCGCGGACGGTGGCGCCTCCTTCTGCTTCTCTTCGGAGTTGCTCGCCGCCCTCGCCCCCCACTGTGGATAGATCGCGGCAGCAGCCGTTCTGCACCGACTTCACGGTTGCCCAGGCGCCTGGCCTCCTGGCCTCAGTTTCCTAAGAAGCGCGGGTCCCGCATGAGACCCGGCGGTGGCGCCAGCGAAAGGGAACGAGGCGGTGGCGGGCGGAGGCGGCGGACGAGGGCAACAAGGACCAGTTAGGCGGCCACAGCTGGAAGGGCCGCAGCCCACGCGCGGGGGCGAGGACAGGTCAGTGCTGCTGCGGCCGTGGCCTGCCCGGCGCGCTCCCTCTGGTCTGTACCTCCGATCCCCTCGTCACCCTCCGGGCCGCGCTGACAGGGTAGGCGCCTGGGCCCTCACCCGCCTCCGTGAGCGAGTGCTTGGGGCGCGTGGTCTGGAGGGGCCGGTGCCAGGACTAGGCCCTGGTGGCTGCCGCTGCTGCAGCCTTAACTGTCAGTGCTGGCTGGGCGCAGGAGGGAGGGTTTTGTCACCCGCGGGGACCCGAGTGGGCCCGGGGTGGGGCGGACGTGCAAGACGTCGAGATTGGGGCCTCATCAAAGCAGGGATCGGAGAGCCAGCCGTGGCTTCAGGCTGCGAAAGGCAGGCCTTTTCCTCCAAAGGGGCGCTTTGGTGGGGAAGACATATTTAGGTGTTTGCTTAGTGGGTTGGGGTATTAGGGGTGGATTGGAAGGAAGACGGATGAAGCGGCACCTCAAGCCCAAGGATCGCTCTCTGGTTTTATTCGTGTGATGCTTCTGGTAGGATTCAGTATTTGAACGTGAGTTACTGGATTTCTCAGAAACTGCTGTGTTAATTTTAAATGCAAACCTGTAAGCAGTTGGCTTCCTCCTCGTCTCCCCTCCCCCTTTTCAGTTGAGAAGATGAAAAGGACGTTTTCCCCATTTTGATGCGGAGGCTTTTTGTTGGAAGAATCAGAGTTGAATGAGCTATAATTGCGTTAGCCTTAAAAATCGAAAATATAATTTTAATAAGATTTTTTCAGCCATGGAATCCTCCAAAGACAATTTTACGTCATTTTTTATGTCTTTTGAGCATGCTAAAATAGAACAGTACACTATGTCTATGGGATTGTATTAAGTAGCTAGTGTACTGTTGCAAATGTTAACTAATTAGTATATGGGATGTGTGATCCACAATTATCTTACATCCTGAAGGATATTCATATAACCCATGGTTTTCGGGGAAGCAGCAGATTATGTTAAAATGTTTTAGAGAGGGAAGTGCGTTTGAAATAAAGATGGCCTGAACTTTAAGAAATACAGCTATTAAAAAGCTAAATATCAAAGACCCAGTAAATGTTGTTGAATAAATTGGACAAGTGACATGACAAGTGTTTTTTTTTTCACACCTCCGATTAGTGATTACTCTTACTTATCTTTTTAGTAAATCATGTAAATTTAGAATTTAGGAGAGATAAAAGGAAAATTTTGTCGTGTTATGTATGACAGAAACTGCTTTAGTATTAAATTCTCCTTTTAAATAGAATCTGCTTACTCTACTTTTAAGGAAATGAATACTGCATCTGTATTGCTGATAAGCCTAAGGATGACTGTAAATCCATAAATAATTAGCATTACAAAAAAGCTGTGTATAAAAATAAGAACTTAAACAATTTGCAGTCTGTATTTTAAGAAAGATACAGCAGATAATAGAGATGACTTGTAGCTTTGTTTTCAAAATCAGAATGTAAGCTGTGAAATATTTGTGTCAATATTTACCTTGCATTGGTGTATTGTGGAGTGGTGTACACATACTTCTTTCGATGTTTCTCCTCTTATACCCGAGGAGCTTAAATTTTGAGTTTAGAAAATTCCTTTTGCATGCAGGTTTTGGTGGCTTTTTTTAATCCCTGAAATAGCCACCATCATCCCCCCCCCCTTTTTTTTTTTTTTGAAGAAAGGGTCTTATGGTATACTGCTGTTACTCTCCTCTTGGCTTTGTCTCCAAGGTTCTGTGATTAAAAATGTATACTACCAGAACTGGCTACTTGCCCTTTTTATGGCTTTAAACAGAAAATGTGATTTCTACCTGAGACAAAACTCATTCTATTTGATTAGTTTTTTAACATTGCATTTATTAGGTATCTATAATGTCTCTGACATGTAAATTTTATTCAATTTTACTTCCTAAACATTTATGTCAATCTGTTTTCCTTCAAATAATTGCTGTAATAATTGTTTCTCTCAATTTTTATGAACATTTTTCTTTTTAATTGTCCATAGCCATTTTTTTTTCTGTTCAAGAGCTTAAGATGATCTTTTCAAATGTCTTTTAAAAAATTATCATTCTTTCTACTTAGGTTTATGTTTGCTATTAATGATAACACTACTGTTAATGGATTTATATTACATATATATGCAGCTATTAAAAACATCAGTGTTCTGACTTTTGTAACTGGAGATGAGTTTTAAGAGGTGGTCTTTTAAGTACTTTCAAGTGTGAAGAACATGTGCCAGAGCAGAGGGTCATATAAAAATAGTCTTTAAAGTCTTTGATGTTCTCTTCATAAATGTTTAGGATAATAGAGTTTTGGTTTTGACAGTTTTTTCTTTCTTACTGATAACAATGAAGACAATGTTATGTTAGGCATGATGTCTAACATCTGTAAACCCAACAATTGAGAGGCTGAGGAAGGATCGTGGCAAGGTCTAGGCCAGCCTAGACTAAGATGTGAGAACTTTGTCTCAAAAAAGTTATCAGAGATGTGATAGGGTGTATAATCAAAAAGCTTGTTTTCCTTTAATTTAATTTTATATTAATAAAAATTGTATTGTTATTTATTTATTTATTTATTTATTTATTTATTGGAGGCAGGGTTTCTTTGTGTAGCTGTGGCTGTCCTGGAGCTAGCTGTATTTAACAGGCTGGCCTCAAACTCACAAAAGATCCACCTGCTTTTGCCTCCCCAGTGCTGGGATTACAGCTGTGGCTACCACCACCCAGCCTGGAAATAGCTTTGTAGTTAGAGCTTGATTTCATTTTCGATAAGACATGGTTTTATCTATAAACAGGGTGGTGAAGATATTCCAGATTTGTGAGAATTAAAGACTGTAAAGTGCCTAGTAATCTTTCAGTTTTATCTTAGAAGATAAAATTCTTACCCAGTTTTTCTGAAAATCTTATAGCACCTTATATATAGAGGTTTATAGCCCGTAATCTGTTCTGTTGTTTTCTTTCTCATTATAAACTCAGTGCAAGGCTTTATATTGTTTAATCAGAAACTTTTTCCAGAAGCCTTACGTTCTGTTCAGCCTATTTATAAAATACCAAAGTACTGGTCTACACTCCCCCAGCCCCGTCAAAGAAAATATATGTCACAGTTATGGACACTGAGAAAAGTCTTAAGATCAAAGCTAATCTTCATTGTAAATTTGAGTAGTGTTAGGACTAGGGGCTGAACCTAGGGCCTCTCAAGTTCTAGGAACTGCTCTACCAGTTCTTAGATGTCTGTACTCATTCTAGCTCAGGCAGACCTTGAACTGGGAGTCCTGCCTCCTTCCATAGTAGCTGTGATTGCAGGCCTGTACCACCATGTTTGGGTTGACTTGTGTCTCTGTGTATCTGTCTGTCTCTGTTTATTAGTTGTTTGTTTGTTTGTTTTAAGATTATTTTGTATGTGAGTGCACATGGGTATGGTGTCTGGGGTGAGAAGAGAGTGTTGGGACTGCTGTGACTGGGATTACAGACAGTTAGCTGCAATGTGGGCTCTGGAAATTGAACGCAGGTTCTCTGGAAAAGCAACAAGTACTTTTAATTTAACTTTTCAGTCATCTCTCCAGCCCTCCCTCCATTTCCCTCCCCTTCCCCTCTTTTGTCTTTTTCCCCTCCCCCCTTCCCTTTCTTGTGACAGAGTCTCTAATTAGCCTCTGAAGCTAGCTAAATAGGCAAAGTTGGCCTCCAACTCAAAGAGCCACCTGCCTGTGATAAGATTAAGACATAGGGTCTTTTAAAATAAGGGCATGGCTCTCTTTCATCAATGTAGATCCTCCTAAAAGTCCCACTTGTAATTTCAGCACCTCAGATTTTAGGCTTTTAAAGAAATTTTAGGGGGGTGCAAAGATTCAAATCATATCGTGGAGTATATTTGAAATAGTTATTGATATCAGCTAACATTTCTGAGGCTGCTTTGAATTCTGTGAGCTGGCCTGGGTTATAAGGGTTAAAAAAAAACCCAAGAAAATATCTATGATTTGGAAATTGATAGGTTAGTTATTTATTGCATATAACACTCTTATTTTTTAATGCGATATCCTGTTATGTTATAGAACTTATTTGTCTATGCCCCTTCAGCTTTAGGACAGTTCTGTAAACTTAGTACCCCTTAACCTCTCAGCTATAATTGTAAAGGGTACTGTTGGTATCCTTTTTTGGGAGTAATGGTAACAGTCCAAGTATATGTGTTCATGTCTGTCATGCAGCCCATCAATATCCTATTCATAGTACACATGCACGTGTGGTATATAAAAAATAAAATAGATTTAGTCTGGTATACCACTCAGCCTGTTCGGAGACTCATTTTTTGGAGAGTGATTACAATTCTGACTTTCAATAATAAGAGTCAGAGATGTTATAAAACTAAATACTCCTCTACTTGAGATCAGCTACTGTATTCATTCTTTTTTTAATACATGAAGAAATTTAAGTTTTAAAATGGTTTTCCTAAGTTCATCTAAAGCCAGAATTAGTTTGGAGTCTCTGGCTCCTAGGTCAGGGTTCTATTTTATTGGCAGATATTTGACCCTATTTTTTCAGAAGAATAGCTACACTTATTTTGGAATTACCAATTCACTTTTATGGAGTTACGTATTTTTATACTATTAATAAAAGATTATAAGATAGCACAGGATTTTATTCTTTTGAATAAAAGATGTGAAATAAATTTTATTAAGTAGTAATACTATTATTTTTCTCTACTTTTTCCAAACATGAAAATGTTTGAAATACTTGAAGACTCTTTATTCCTTCTTAATAATAAATCAAATTTATTCTTATGTTTTCATTTAATTTCAAAATACTAGTTATAGTTTCTTGATTTCAGTTGTCTATAACAGTTAAATTAACTGAATAGGAATTTGGAAAGGTTATAAGTATTGGGCCTGTCTATAAATGAAATAGTTAACTTATTCCTAGGTTTTACCTGAAGCCATGGAACAAATTAGTGGTTCAGAATTTCAGTGATTTAGGAAATAAAACAACTTTAGGATTATTGAAATGGAGTAAAGAATGCA